AAATGTTTTGTCCTCTTCAAAGTCAAATGAAATTCTACAAACCATAACTTTGTTTGATCATTGAAAGTTTATTAAACCAGGACCCAAAAATTCTTGTCCTCAAGCCATTCATGCCAGGACAAAACCTTGGAGAAGTTATAAAAATGAATTGGGATAAGGATTCTAACACATTTGAAAAGAACTATAATCTATCATGTTATCATTCCTCCCAGTTCTCAAGTCCTAGCTTAAACTTTATCTCATTGCTGAAATCTTTCACAAATTTCACTAAACTCCTACAAGCCATAAATAATCTTTACCCTTGGGGTTTTAGAACACTTACCATATGCAGCCTTATGTCACAAGTTCAGGTGTACCGCTGTGTATGTGTTTTCCTTTCAATGAGTACCCAATACATTAGAAACAGTGCAGTGTTTAAAGAGTAGGGGTTCTGGCCCAGATTTCTGAAGTTGACTCCCATGTCTATGTGGCTATTGTCCCTCTGTTACTCAGTTTTCTCACCTGTGAAAAAAATTATAATAGTCCTACCACATGGAATGATTATGAGACTAAAATACCACGATAAACTGCCACAGCCAAGAGGTGCCTTAGGAAGTATGACGACTAAGGTAATGTGGTATTCGGAAAGATCCTGGAACAGAAAAAATAAAGGTAGAAATAAGGAAATTAAAACAAAGTATGGACTTTCCTTAATAATATTGTATTAATATTGATTCATTAATTGTGACAAATGTACCATACTAATGTAAGACTTTGTCTTTTTTCTTATCTTTTCTTTTCTTTTTTTTTTTTGTGATGGAGTCTCACTCTGTTGCTCAACTAGAGTTCTGGTTGGGGAAGCTGATGAGAAGAGCTAAGGACAAAGACTCTGGAATTTCTCTTTTCCTTCTTTTTACAGACTCCAGAGGATATGAACAAGCACAAGTGTTTTAAAGATGCTAGGATTATGCTAACAGTGTTCGCATGTGGGAGGGGAAACCCTGTACAGCCTCCACTTGCCCACGGTATTACCAAGAAATCTTTAACATCTCTTTGAATTGAATCAGGGTTCGATTCACTGCACTCAGGCTGGAGTGGCGTGATCTCAGCTCACTGCAACCTCCGCCTCCTGGGTTCAAGCAATTCTCCTGCCTCAGCCTCCCAAGTAGCTGGGACTTCAGGTGAGCACCACCATGCCCGGCTAATTTTTGTATTTTTAGTAGAGACGAGGTTTCACATGATGTCCAGGCTGGTCTTGAACTCCTGCTTCAGACAATGCACCCGCCTCAGCCTCCCAAAGTGCTGGGATTACAGGTGTGAGCAGCCATGCCTGGCCTAACGTAGAATATTAATAATAAGGGAAATTGAATACAGGGTATGTGAAACTTTCTATCTTTGGAACTTTTCTGTAAATCTAAATCTATTCTCAAATAAGGTTTACTGAAAAAGTAAAAATTAGAATTAGAAGAAACTTTAAATGTTAATGAAGGCAAACCACATGGCACACAGTAGTAGGCACTCATTAAAAGATAAGTAACAATTGTTAGGAGTACTACTAGTAATGATACTGTGAACTCAACAAAAGCTTTTAAGCAAAATTGCTGACTTCTTATTCCCTTAGTCTTTCTCTTTTGTTTTTGTTGTTGCTTTTGAGGTTTTATTTTTTGTACAATATTTAGCAAAAAAATGGAACTGTGAACAAAACTATTATTTAATTTTTCGATCTTATTATTTCAGCATTATGTAGGAAAGGGTTTAGTGCCAAAGACTGTATTCATCATCACATCTTTTGGCCATCATCATATGCAGTATGATTAGATAAATAGGCATACACGAAATGTCAACAGCACCTGTTTGAGAAGCTATAAACTTATTCCATTGCTTTTCATTTCAAATGTTCTTTTAATTTCTTAATTACAATTTGTTGTGTGTATTTCACAATAACAAGTACAAATCTAGTCATTTCATGCCCTTTAACAATTTTACATTATCTACAAGATCAAGTCTAAATGTCTTAATTTGTCATTCTAGGACCTACACAATTTAACCTGCACAGATTCATCAATTACCTGCCCCACAATCCTATGCTCTCCATACACTTCTGCTTTTTCTCGTGCTTTTTTCTGGAAGGCTTATTAATTCTTCTTATAATAAAATAATTCTCATTCTTTGACATCTTTTCTATATGTTATGAGCACTTCTCCTATTTCTTCAGAAAAAAAAATTAATTATTGATGCTTCCAGTCTTCCACAGCATTCTATCCATAGTGATTATAAAAGTTACAATCTTCTGGGGAACACTAAAATATGATTTATTCATTTTCATGTTTATTTTTTGAATTGGATTTACTGATTTCAAATGATCCTTTCATGGAAACATAATGACCATGACTAGCTAAGCCAATAAATTCACATAGAATATGTTTCTGTATTGAAATCCCTTGGACATGATATATACCATCTATGCTACACTGTCACTCACATGGGTTAAGGTTGCTTTGGAATTAGTCCATAGCTGTTTAATGTGTTTATACCTTAATTAGACACTCCTAGGGAGATACAATTACGCCTATTTCTTCTTTTGCTCCCTTGAGAGTCAAAAGCAGTCAGTCACAGTAGCTGTACATAATGAAGTGACTAGCCACATATTTACACTTGGCAACCTTCACTCTTTATTCAACTAGTTTAACTCTTAGTGTTTATTTTCTTCAATTTTATCTTTGAGAATTGCCAATACTCAACCTGCCTGAATTTTCTTTTATCCTTAAGCAGTTAAGGGTACATTTAAAAATGTTGCTTTGCTTTACAGAGGGATGAGGATTTCCTCAAAGAAAGCCAAAGTTGACCAATAAACATATGTATTTTTTCTTTGCAGAATTAATATACTGAATAAAAATCCCCTCCTTAATCCCCAATACAGAAATTTATTACATGATGTATATATCTTCCCATTTCTATATACACTAAAAATCTTACATATATTAAATATATACATCATTTAATTTTTACACACATAAATTGATATTATATCAATCATTCAACTTAACAAATAAGAGACATTTTCTTATGTGTATACTTCACCCCTTTTGTTTTCATTTTGACCAAGCCATATAAATCCATTTGGAAAGAGAAGTTTTGATAAGAAGCAGAAATTTTGAATATGGAATATGGCAAAGAAAGTAAGTGCCCAAATTTCACATCTGTCTTACAAGACTTCCATTTTTCCTCAATGAACCAAGGGGACCAAGTTCTGTGTTATCAGACACAATCCTTGAAAAACACAGAACTTAATTCTTAAATTTAAACTTAATCCTGGCCCACTTTATTTCCACATCTTTGATATTATTGGTTTAATATTCTGTGATCCCAACTCATCATACTCTTACACCAGATTCCTAACAAGTAGGTATCTTGACAAGAGAATTTCCCTAAACTCCTAAAATTATGATGAAGCCAGTATGTTAGATTCGATGGCAGACTTTGCTGAAGTATGAAATCTGCTCTCTACCACCAGTTGAATTTGGGTACATCTATTTGTGCAGTGTGCTAGACAAAACCATGCTTCTACAAGCCAGAATCAGACTATGCCCAGCATCCTCTTAAAAATCAAGCCAGCACAGAAGGCAGTATCATGTAACGTTGGTGCAATCATTCAGGAACTTCTATATATTCAGTGACTTACTTCTAAACCCAAAGCGCAAGAAATTACATGAGATCCCATGGGACTCTGTCCTAGATGATGCAAAATAATCCCAATGCAAAAATATAATCCAAATCTGAGGTAGTGTAGCCACCTTCACAGAGGAAACCTTCACAAATCCATTGAGGAGAGAACTAAATGCAATTCTACCACCTAGGAAACTTGTTCAGAGAGGCTTGGGCAGACTAAAAAAATGGGACACTTGCTCCAAGAAGCTCCCTTCTGGTGGAAATCACCCCCAAAAAAACAAGACATGACATCAGGCTGTCAACTAAACCTGTGCCCTTTAAGCACCTGTTCAAAGGACAAACAACAGTAACTTGGATCCCCACCCACCTTCCCCAGCAGTCTCCACATCAATACCCATGTGCCAGAACTGACATGAGTGGAAACACAAGGGTGCCAAAAACACAGTTCCAGAGTCACTCCATCAGCATTTAAGCTCTGCTCATTGAATCTCTGTCCCTGGACATGTGCACTAAACCACAGCAACTGCACCCACCACAGGCCAAAGGGGCTTGATTAGAAGCAGAGCCAAGTGAAGAGGAGTGGGAAGAATGTGCAGAAGCTGAACAGTTAGTAATGTGGCATATACTGACTCCTGGGAAACCAAAGCCGTCAACAGATCAATGCTGGATATTTCAAACCTGGAGGAGCTTTTTGTTAAATAAGATTTCATGTGGCCCCAGAGGTGAACAGGCAAAGCCATCAGTGGTGACAGGCAGCCTGTCTACATGTGTGCTTAGATGAGATTGGACTGTGCGTCCTTAACCGGGCAGCTTTGAGCCCCATTCATACACATGAATAGTAATGCTGTCAGCAGCAGCAGCATCTACTAACACCAAGGACAAAAATAAATACTTCAACATGAAGTATAGACACAGGCCAAGACAGGTCTCTCTTGAGTTTTGAATCCTCATCACAGACTAAAGATGATTGATGGTGATAGTGCTGTGGTTAGTGGACATATCACTGTATTTCCCATCACTTTTCAAGTACATGCTTCTGATTCTCTTGATTATTTTCAGTCTTTGCAAATGTTATTCTTCCTGAAACTCCCATTCTGCTGTCTCAGTTGCCTCAGCTCACCAATGGTTTCACTGAGCTCCCTTTCATTTCTGACATGTAACATGTAAGCTTTCATTGTTCAGCTACCTGGGCATTCCTCCTTTCCCCAGCACCCTCCCCCAACCATTTCACCAGACTGTGCTAGTCTATCAAGATGAAAACAACACTATGACACTCAGAACAAACTTCTCCTGTCAGATCCACACAGGGGGCCCTCTGTTGCACAATCTGTACTTGTTCCTCATGCAACAGAGATTCAACTCACAGATATGAGATCCAGACTGCAGATCAGAGGGGAGACTGACTTCTGCCCTTCATTTGGGCCAAAGAATACTTATCTCCTTATTTCCAACTTCTCAAGTTGCAGCTAGACCTGGGGAGATGTAAATATGTAAGTAAAACCCAAGACCATATTCACAGGTTATCCTTTCAAAATGCTAGTACTTTTCAGTTGCCTTATCACAGGCTGATTCAACTCTTTATTCATAAAGAGCCAATAGCAAGAAAAGGCAGCTCAGTGTGTGGGGAGGATTGCAGGAGTTACCACCATATACAGATCTTTTTGTTCTGACACATTGGTGTGTGGGATTGGGCTGTGGGTAAAGTGACTATGTCTCTCTTTCTTGCAGTCCCAGGCTACCCTTAATCCATAGCTCTGCTGAAGAAATCCTTTCTGAGGCAAACATAACATAGGAAATTTAAATGATTGCTGCTGGTGTTTAATATTTATTGAACACCCACAACTGGACAAGGCACTCTACCGATGTGTAGCTTGCATCTTATTAGAACCCTCTGGAGAAAAAACATCATTTTGAAAGCTATTGTAAAAAACCTGTTGAGCTATTGTAAGAGCAACAAGAATACACATTCCTCAAATATCTCTAATTGCTTTCCATAACAATACAATTTTCAGTTCCTTCCATTAAGAACAATCATTAACATGATATACTCAGTGATCACATCTCTATAGTGCTTCTTTAAACATTTAGTTACATGCACTAGTAGATCAGGCTGAAAAAAAAATCACTATGTTAAAATACATTTTTAAAGGTTTATTTTCCCAAAACATGTGTAATAGACTTGAAAATAAATGGACTTCACTTTCAAGCGGCACAGTTAGTTGTTGTGTTGGTTCCCTTCCTTTCCCTTCCTCAGAACCCAAGGTTGGAGCCTCTGTTGAGCTCCATCTGCAGAAACCAAATCTACTTCCTTTCCTGAGATAGTCCCAACAGGAAAAGGAAGCACACAGTAGCCATCAACCCACTATTTACAGAGCCTGGCAACAGGTAACATTCCCCAGACCCAGGAACCTTCCATCCTGTCACCTATATCTTCATTGACAACCAGATCTGGAAGCCTGCCTGAAACTCAATTTGCAGGCTGAGAACCCTGAACCTTGTCTACTTCCTACCAGCCTTTCTTCTCAAAGCTAGACCCTTCATGTTGGCAGGAATCCTGAAATGTGAGAAGTGTATTTAACTCCTACATTTTCCAGAATGCCATGATCTCTGCAGGTAAGATGCTGTTTGCCCTGTTGGACTGGTATTGGTGATCCCCTGAATCACTGCCTTTAGGTTTAGAAAAAACTCTGGATGGATATACACCAAAACATTAATCATTGTTATCTCTGGGTGGTAAGAAAACACATGATTTCAATTTTCTCTTATGCTATATTTTCCATATGTTCTGCAGTGACACGTATTACTTTTTTACGCAGGAGGAAAAAAAATTTTTTTAGTTTTGTTTTGTTTAAAACTTTACCAAGACATACCATTATCCTTCCCCTGTGTTTCTGTTATTTCCGTTTCAGTAAATTCTCTTTTCTTTTTTCCAAATCCAGCCTGTTGGAAAGAGTGTTCTCTCTACAAAAGAGGACAAAATCTAAAGAACAAATTCCCAGAGAAAATATTTTTAAAGGGTTTTAAAATCTTGTATAACATAAAAAAGCATGGTATTAAAATCATATCCTTTATGGCATAGAAAAAATAAGTGATTTATTAATGATACCAGGAATTGAGATTTTCATAGCACCATGAGAATGATAAAATGAAATTCTAAGTTAAAAATTATAAGACAAAAATTAAATTAACAGAACGTTAAAACTGAATTGGAAAATGTAGATCAAAGCCACACAGAGGTGAAAGCAAGACCCAGGGAATTATGCCTGGCATGTTTTATGCAAAAGAAGTTCAGCTGTGAATAAGTGTCCCCATTCTCTCACCTCTGCTATGGTTTAGTTGCAAGATGTCCATCTTTATGTGCTGGTGAAGAGCTGCTTTCTTGTTAACTGCAGAGTGTGTGCCTACCTGGGAAATGTGTTTCCTTACGAAACAGATTCCTTAAGTTGTGCTGCAGGTTCTGTAGGCCACTTTCCTCTCTTGTGTCTATCAGTACCAAAGTTCACTGTGGTGTATTTGAATTTCTTTAGGCTGAAATTTACAGGTTGCTGTTATGAGTTTTTTCCTTACAACATCTCTTTATATGACTTTAGCTTCAAGTAAAACTTACTTTCAAAAAGAAAAAAGAAAAAGAAAAAAAATTCAATGAGATGCTACTTCACACCTATTAAGAGTGCTATAATTAAAATGATGATTAATAGTAAAGGTTATAGAGGCTGTGGAGAAACTGGAACACTCAAACGTTGCCATGGGAATGTAAAATAGTACAAATGGTTTCCAAAATACTGTTTGGGAAACAGTTTGATAGTTCCTCAAAAAGATAAACATGGAGATCCCATATGACCCGGCAATTCCACTCCCATATATATACCCAAGAGAAATGAAAACATATGCTCACACAAAAACTTGTATGTGAATGTTCATAGCAGCATTCGTCGCAATAGTCAAAAGGTGGAAACAACCCAAATGTCCATCAACTGATGAACAGATAAGCAAAATGTTGTATATCCATACAATGGTATATTGTTCAGCCATTTTTATGACATGAAGCACCAATAATACATGCTACAGCATGGATGAAACTTGAAAATATTACGCTAAATGAAAAAGGCAAAACCATACAAAAGGTCACATACTATATGATTCCATTTATAGGAAATGTCTAAAATAAGCAAATCCGTACAGAAAGAAAATAGGTTAGTAGTTGCTAGGGGTTAGGGAAAAGAAGGAATGGGAAGTGACATGAGTACAGATTTTCTTTCTGGATAATAAAAATGTCCTAGAATCGGCTGGTGAGGACAGTTGTAATTTTGTGAATATACCACAAACCACTAAATTATATTCTTCAGAAGTACATTTTGAAGGACACGGTGGCTCATGACTATAACTGCAGCACTTTGGGAGTCCCAGGCGGGAAGATCGCTTGACTGCAGGAGTCTGAGACCAGCCTGGGCAATACAGTAAGACCCTATCGCTACAAAAAAAAAAGAAGAAGAAGAAGAACCAAGCCACGCCTGTAGTCCCAGCTACTCGGAAGGCTGAGGTAGAAGGACCCCTTGAGCCCAGAGGTCCAGACCGCAATGAGCCGTGATCATGCCACTGCACTCCAGCTTGGTTGACAGAGTGAGACCCTGTCTCAAAAAATAAAGTCAGTTTTATGGTACGTGAACTATGCCTCAATAAAATTGTAAATTTTTGTTGTTGTTTGTTTTTGAGACAGAGTCATGCTCTTGTCACCCAGGCTGTAGTGCAACGGTGCTATCTCGGCTCACTGCAACCTCCGCCTCCTGGGTTCAAGCAATTCTCCAGCCGCAGGCTCCCAAGTGGCTGGGATTACAGCTGTGGACCACCACACCCAGCTAATTTTTTATTTGTAGTAGAGACAGGCTGGTCTTGAACTCCTGACCTCAGGTGATCCGCCTGCCTCGACCTCTCAAAGTGTTGGGATTACAGGCGTGAACCACCACACCCAGCCAAAGCTGTAATTTTTTTTTTAAACTGGAACTGGAAATATCAACATAAATTTATTATTTTAAAAATATATTTTTTCTAGCTCTGTCCATTGAAATATCCTAAAAGCAATATCATTATAGTAGCAAGGAGCACCTCTAGCACCCAGATTTTCACCTCTAATGCTGTTTCCCAATTTTTAAAAAAATCAGGTCTTCTTGGAGAAAGGCTAATTATGTGCCTGTGTCAGCAAAGATATAAGGTCAGTCTAGGACAATTTGCACCAAAAGCAAGCAAACTTTCCAAGATTAATGGGATTGTGTGAAAAAGATACAGAGGCTACCTTGAAAGGACTTCTACTGGCCAAAATTACAATGATTTAGGCAATAAAAAACAGTGATTACAGTTAATTGAAAATCTATGAATACCCATAAGTCCATCATATCTTTTGAGAATCAGCCTTTGAGAAAGGAAAAAACAAGAGCAAACAGCAGAAATCTCATTTGTCAACATCACTTGACATAGTCATTCAATGTACATCTTACTTTAGAAACATGTAAAGGTGGAAAAAATAAACATTTATTCTGACTTTTCAGCAGAAAATAGGTTTTAAAGTAATTAAATAGCCCTACAGATAAATATATCATACTTCTCATATATTTTATCAAATAGAAAATTGTACTACTATCCCCTCACTTATTCATACCAGAAACCCAAGAGTCATTTTTGTTTCCTCCTTTTCCCTCACACCCCACATTCAATCAATCAACAGAATCTATCAATTCTACCTGTTGATCATCCTTGAAGTTAACCCTTTTACCACTGTTAATGTCTTCCCATTTATTTCCACAGTTTAAGCGGGGAGTTTCTAAGTGAAAAGGGACCCAGGCCACCTTCTACTTACAATATTCCCATGGGTTTCCTCTGGAAAACCAGTAAGCCCAAGATTTTACAAGAGCTTATATAACCTAGATCATCCACTTCATTTTCCCCAATTTCCACTCTCCTTCTCAAACTCTGTGCTTTGGTCATTATTAAACTTCTTTTGGTTCCTAAAATGGTTCATTTCTTGTCTTCTGGGCTTTGCAAATACTCTTCCATCTCCCCACAAGCACTGCCTTCTCCTGACTAACTCCTCCTCAACCAAAAATCACAGGTAAAGGTCACTTCATCAAGAAGACTTTCCTTAACCCTCTTCATCATAATTTATTGTACAGTACTTACTTATTTAATATCTGCCTTCTCTTTTATCTTAAAATCTCCAAGAAAGCTACAGCTAGATTAGTTTTGTTTGTTTCTCTATCCCCATGAGAGAATTTGGAAAATGTAACTGATTTTTTATGCTTGCATGTTTTATATTCTTCAGCTTCAGATTTTATGAATAACAGTAGAAGACCATTATCTTTAAAATTATCTTAAGTTGCTTAGAATATAGGAGTAATTACAGATCTGTTTCTTTTTCTCATTAATCCTTGGGAAGCCTAAATTACAATCGCTTCTTAAAAGTTGGGCTGTAAAGTACTTCTGACTCAGCCTCACCCTATGTTTTGTGGAAGGATCTAGGAAATGGTGATAATAATACTTACCTGGAAGAGCAGTTAAGAAAAATAGAGATGACGTATCTCATGTGTCTAGCATAGAATAGGCATTAAAACATGGTAGCTATTATTAAAGAATAAAATAATAGATACATGCATGGATTTCAGAGTGCCTGTGACCTCCTTAAAATGAATCAAATTTTGTGTGGCTGTGTATATGTTTGTGTCTGTGTGCTATTCTGGGGAGATGGTCCAGATCTTTCAATAGCTTCTCAAAAGGACTGGGAACAAGAAAAAGTTAAGAATCACTGCCTAATGGTTTATTTAGGAAATCTGGTTCTCTGGCAATAATGAAAATGTTGACAATGTGATTGTTGTGTCATCTGGCTGGCCAAGGCAATGTTTTCTGCTAAGGCAAAAATTAGAAGTCTTGGGGCCAAAATGATCTCAACTAAATGGTTCTTCTACACTATGCTTCCATCTGCCCAGCATGTGAGCCATTAACACATGTTTCCTGTTGATGATTTTCATATCTTTATTTGCAAGGAAATTGCACTGAGACCGGTTCAAGAGAATCATTTATGTAATATATTGAAAAACCAAATAAATGAACTTCCTATATGCATATACTCACAATTTTAGATTATTAAAAAGTGACTATTTATGGAAGATTAAGCACACATTGACCAAGACTGCCTTTAAGTAATTCATCTAGTAGTTTTCATTATACATATGTGTGTGTGTATATATATATATATACACTTTTTTGAGTCCAAAAAATAGCAAGGCTCACCATGTGTTGAAATAATTTATTTCAACACTTAACGCATTATCTGTCCTGTATTTCCAAATGTTGTGTCATCACCATTTGACCTCAACCCATTGTTAAATATTTAGTAGTACTGTTGGATAAACAATACAAAGTATTGTTTACTTTTGAATGTGGCATTTACATGAAAAACCAACTAAGCCAATACATGCTACAAAAGGTACAAGTTTAGGCTATGGCGCCAGCCCTTCTGGTGGATGGAAAATGAAATACAAGGAAAAAGTAAACCACAGAGAGGATGAATGGATCAGGGACAGCAATAACAATGGAAAAGATGCCATAACTCTCCAATAAAGAATAAAGGCAGAAAGTAACTGCCATCCAAATGTTGGCATAATGGAAACTGCATGTTTCCATCTCTCAGAACTTAAACACAATAATGGATAGTTTTGAGTAGGAGTCTATTTGCATCAACATGATGAAAAAATACTCAACAAAATACTAACCAATAGAGAATTATTCTTAACACTCACTGAATATAAATCTCACGGTGTTGAAGATTATTCATTTAAAGGAGTGACGATGGTCTAAAAGAAACACCGAAAGAGTGCATGCTAGAGATTTTGATGAGTCAACACACCACTCCTGGTAAGTGTGCTCAATACACTCTTTTTGACTGACCATAGACAATCAGCTTGGCAAGTCTGAAAACAAGTATCAGCCTGCACCACGAAATCTTTATAACCTATTGAGGTCCTTTGAGACACAGAGCTGAAAATGGCATATAATATCTTACTTCAACATGTTTTTCAATGACAGCTAAAATTTAAAAAAATGCACACACATGTAGTTGAGAAAAATTAGAATTATGTAAATGCAAAGATATACCATATTCTTGGTTTTGAAGACTCAATATTGTTAAAATGTCATTCTCCCCAAATTGATCTACCCTAATCACAATCCCATCAAGCTTTTTTGGCAGAACCAACAAACAGATTCTAAAAGTTATATATATATGCATATATATATAAACTTTTACATATATATATATAAACATAACTAGGATATTCAAAGTGATCTTGAAAAAAAAAGAAAAAGTTGTAGGAATTATACTACCTGTCTTCATGACTTACTATAAAGTCACAAAAATCAAGACAGTAAGTAATCAGCATAGGACCACCAAATAGATCAATGGAAGAGAAGAGAGACCCAAGAAATAGATACACACTTATGAAGCAATTTGATTTTTTACAAAGGTGTAAAGAAAAAACGCAAAATTGGTTTGGAATGAACTCCCCTTTGAAGAACAATGACTGTCTTAGTTCATGCTGCCGCTATAACAAAATGTCTTAGATTTGATAATTTTATAAACAACAGAAATATATTGTTCATGATTCTGGAGGCTGGGAAGTCCAAGGTCAAGGTGCCATCAGATTTGGTGTCTGGTAAGACTCACCCTCTGCTTCCAAGACTAACTGAAAATTCTACAAGATGATGCAATAGGATATTCAAAATCATGTTCAACTGACTTGTGAAATTTGGATTTATTGTAAACATAATTGAGGATGGCAAAGATCACCTGGTGACCATCGGGCAGGCCATCCAGAGACACAATTCCTTTTCAGAGGAATTCAGAAGTGATTAGACTTCCCTATTATCTAAACCAGGCATATTGTTCCAGGTTTCCTTCCCAAAAATTTGTCACTAACTAGAGTTTCTAGACATCTCCAGAATGTGTGTATACTGGAACCCATTGTGCAGCCCTTGCTGACATTAAGACACCAAGATATCTACAAATGTAATTGTTTATCATGACCTACATGGCTAATATGGTCCAAATTATTCTTAGCGTCCTGCTTTAGGGTCCATAAATACTCCTAAGGAAAAATCTGCCAAAGCACTCTCAGTCCTCTCTTGCTGAGAGGCCCTGGTGCGCTTCTGCAGCATTCTTTCTTTCTAATAGAACTTTGCATTTTCAAACCTATAATCTCATCAGTAAATTCTTCTTACCAACCCACAAGGTGACCACTTTTCAATGCCAGGGCTCTGACACTTGCCTGGCAACAATATTTCACTTCTTAGGTGAATTCAGCATTAGAAATGAGACAGGATTCATGTCAAACTAAAAAGTGGGGTGACAATATGATGGATGATCAAACAGCAATTGTATCAACCACTGATTGTAATATTAAGTAGGCAAATACGTAGAAAAGAACTAGTTATTAAGTATGCAAACCACTGCTACTCTATGGAAAGCTAAAATAAGGGACCAGAAAATAAAATATACCAAAGTATATTTTATACTTTGCACATGCTACTCACCATCAGCCAATGAATAATCCAGAAAGGTGGCTCTTACTTTGATTGACACGTTGTTTCCAACATAAAGTAGGGGAAACTAAACAGCAATTCCTGGTTTGCCCTCCTCACACCTTCTATGCAGTTGAAAGTGTAAATGGAATCAAGGTTAAAAGTGCTAAAGGTCACACACAGTATCTTCAGTCATATCCAAATACATGAATCATTTATATTGTCAAAGTGACCTAAAACACTTTAGAATTTTCTATTAATCCAATGTAACATTCCCATCCTAAGGCATAATTTGAATTATTTACTAAGGTTTATTTTAATTGTTTAATTATGTTGAACTTGAATATACTGATATGGCTAGTTTAAGTGACTATATGAAAAGTAGCTTAGCTGACTTCTGGAAATTCAAAAATATTTCTAACATTAAAGGCGAAAATAAGGCAAAAATTACACAGAAACAAGGAGTATCTAAAAGGAAGAGCTAGCCATGACTGATCAGCTCTATCTTACACCAAAGCAACCCTGAGAAAAGTTCAAGTAATCCATTATTTTCTTAGTACTACATCAAAAAAACATTTTCTAACGATTTTTTAAAAATCTTAATCAACTGGTAGTTCGGATCGCTTGGGTAAACATTGCTTTATGTACTCACATTTCTTTACTTTTTAGTTCGGCAATGATTCAACCAGTGCAGAGCTATCGCCCCCCACCCGCTACTCAGATCTTTATGCTAGCCTGTGAAGTTGCATAATGCCAAAGACTATGACACATTAAGTAACTGTTTTGTACCTAGAACAAAATCTGATTTTAAAATCATTTTAGCCTGTTTTTCAAATGCTTAACTTCCGTTGTTTAATCAAGATTGATTATTTGCATTTGAAAATGTATTCATTTTGCAAAACACCTAACTTCAAGAAAAGCTTGACATTAAAAAAAAAGGCAAAAAAAAAAAAAAAAAAAGCTACTCAGTTCATGACTTTCAAATACTCCCCACATAACCTCACCCCACTTCCTCCATATTCTCTTTTTAGGTACTGAAATTTAACCAGGTCAGTTCTGGTCTCAAACAACAATGTCATATGAGTTTAAATAGCTGTCTGGGGAGTTAGATTGAATCATTTGCTAAACTCTAATATTTTAAATTTATAAACTTCAGAAGGAAGATAGCTTTTGAAGCTGACAAAAGACCAATCAGAAAACAGTAGTCTTTTTGTGTGCTGCCCAGAAATTCAGTTACAAAGTGCTTCTATTGTTTCTCATAATTTACATTTTTTTTTGGCAGAGCAGAAAGGAAAAAAATAAGAAGTCAAACTTGGAGGCATACAACAAAAATGAAAGGCGACATTTTTATTTTAAAATGTCCCCTTGACATTTAGATATCCACAAACCCAATATTTAACATTTACAGACGATATAACAGTAAAAGAAATAGCAGCTGTTTTTCTGTGACGTCACTGAACAGGTGTGGTACCATTTCATACCACAGAAATGGGATGGATCTCTTGCTGATGCCCATAGAAAGCCTATATGGAACCAGTATTGACCTATATCTCATTTCCTCAGTTATGATCAGAAAATAACCCTGGATGACAAGAGTCATGGTGATCGATCTGTGCTGATTTGAAGCAGACATTCTCCTAAACAGATCAATACTATCCAAGGTGCAGCTGAAAAACAGGATGAGCTTGTATCATTAAACAAACACCAAGCTGCTTATTCACAAGGGCAAAAGCAACACACAGCACTTGTGTTTTCCACCGTATGTTTGACGGTGACCTCAGCCCTGACCTGCAGGGCCACCTTCTCTGGGATAGAAGTAATCCTGTGTTGGGTCAGCCTCTGGTACTGAGGGACTCCTATGAGTGGTGGCATTTTTTACAATGAGAGCTACTGTGTCTGCTTTGGCTTAGCCAAGACAATTACATGATGCCAAAACAACTAGTCAATGCAGTCAATTTAGTCAAAAGACTGGACTGAGTATTTGGCATTACATAGACAAAAAATGAAATAGGAAGGAAATTTTAACTTTTACCCAATCATACTGCAGTTGTGAGGTTACAACTTTAATTTAGAAAGTTTTTGTGACATCAGTTGTTTCTATACACATAAACTACAATAACTATCTGGATAAACCAAGTAGTTTTGCTCAAACATGCAAGTTTTTTGATTAGTCCCTCCAAATTGCTTTTATTCTAATTTTCACTTAGCTACATAACCTTCCCCCAAAAAGGTAATCTTTTTATATACTTGTATGACCCTTTTATATCAACATGTTATATGTACATATATGAATGAACAAAATTAAAATCTAAAAAGAACATGCAAGTTATATCATGTTCTCTTTGCTATAGGGTTATAAAATATGATGAGATTATTAACTTTAAAACAATATTCCCAAAGATATTGAGAAAATAAATATGGACTAAAATGTGATTCTGTATGAGAAATACAAGATGACTTCATATACAACTGGGCATATAAGTAAAAGTTAAATATTTTGGATAGTCCTAGGGTGGAAAGTCTAAGAAAAAGACCCCAAATTCCAGAGGCTACTGGCCAATTCAGGATCGATAAATATATCTAAACTGGGGACAAATATAAAATCACGTAATTATGTATGAATGAACTTTGACAGCATTGCCATAAGATCCAACCACTTACCATCTTAAGATCTTTTATGCATTTGGAATGTTTATTTTTCAATCTTAGATATACTGTTCGCCCTAACATAAAAAGAAGCTGTGTCTCTTGCTGCTATTAAAAGACAGGGTTGGACGGTGGGGAGAAAAAGTCAAGTAACAATACTTGTTAACTTCTCTTTCATTTAACTTTTTCCTGGTGGGGGTGGGGAGAACCTTGAAGCGGAGAAAACAAACTTTCCCTCCAGCACATCATTGTATAAGCACTATACCATCTCTCTGAATAAAGAAGAAGAAATAAATTCAGCTTTGGAACTCTGCCATTGAGTGGCGGCTCCTGCAAAGGGGACAGTTTTCTATTAATTGTTAATGTCGTCTGCCATTAGAGGGCACTAAACAACTCTACATTAATGAGTTGGAGGGAAGAGAGAAAAGGAGACGGGAAAAGAAAGAGAAGGAGAAAAGGGAGGGCGAGTCTGGGTAGAGTCCGGGTAGAAGGAGGGAAGGAGAGAAGAGGGGAAGGAGTCGGGGAAAGAGAGCAGAGGGAATGGGTGAGAGAAAGGGAGGGAAAGAAAGAAGGGGAGAGAGACATACAGCGAGATCGAAACAGAGACAACAAGATTTTGGAAAGATTAAGAAGGATGTGGAGCCTCCACAGCCGTCTGAAGTGAGCAAAAAGCCAGCCTCCCCCGGGCCGCCCG